TTGAAAATAAAGGTATGAAATCCTGAAGAAGTTGTTATGCAACTATTAATTTTTATTTATGTTTAGGTTTCCAAGATTTCTTAATCTGTAACAAAATCGTTAATACAAAATATGATATTCCATCACGAACTACTTTATCACCTCTGAATCTTAATAAAATTTATAATGCATGTGTTGATAAAACAAAAGAACAAATAAAATTATCAACAAACTATCCTACAATAACATGTGATGCATAGAGTGACAAGTATAAACATCATTCGTATATTTGCATCACGATTCATTTTCTGGATTCGAAGTTGCAGCTACATAAATATATTTTAAGAACACAACCATTTAATGAAGCTCATACAGGTGAATCAATAAAAGATCTTGTATCAAATGTTTTAAATGAATTTGGTATAAATCCAAATAGTGTAATTGTAGTAAGCGAATTTATTCATCAAAATTTTAGAAATTAGTGTCATTTTATTTGCTCAGGTATCGGATAAAGTTTCAAATATGCGCAAGGCGTGGGGATTGTTAAATGTCATTCATGTATTTTTTGTTGGTCATGGAATTCACAATTTGTTAATGAAGGATTGTTTTTATAATATTTATTATGTTTCAGAAATCTTAGATAAAGTTCAATCAATTATTAACAAGCTTCGTTATCGTTAACATGAAATTGAAAATGAATATTTTCGATCGAATGAAAAACTTTTTAAGAGAGAGTCCGTCAGGAAACCACACTCGAAAATAAATTGGTATAATACCGAACCAAAAAGAGTACCGTGAACGAAAAAAGATTTCGTACATAGTACAGAACCTAAAAAGATTTCGAATTCGTTTCAATTCTCTGAACCATTTTAGGTTCGGTACAGACCACTACGAAAAACTCGAAAAAGTGTCCAGAGTCAATGACAATCAATTTTAGTCACCCAAAGTTTTGTAGGAAACCTTTTGAGGCTTTCGTATTGCCCTTCGAAATGGTTCGGTACGCTGCAAAAGAATTTGTATGATTACGGAACCATTTAAGAAGACAATACGAAATCTTAAAAAGGTTTCCTACAAAACTTTGGGTGACTAAAATTGATTGTCATTGACTCAGGACACTTTTTCAAGTTTTTCGTAGTGGTCTGTGCCGAACCTAAAATGGTTCAGAGAATTGAAACGAATTCGAAACCTTTTTAGGTTCTGTACTATGTGCGAAGCCTTTTTTTCGTTCACGATACTCTTTTTGGTTCGGTATCGTACCAATTTTTTTTTCAGTGATAACGATATTAATTTAGCAACAGCTGAAGATAATACCTCAGGGAACGACAATTTTGCCTATAAATCACTACCACCTGATGAATTAACAAGATACTTGACAATGGACATCAATGAATCAACATTGTCTTCGAATCCACTTGATTTTTGGAAAGAATACGACGCACTTTATCCTATTTTATCAACATTGACCAGGCAAATAGACTGCATATCTGCCTATTCAGCAGCTGTTGAACAATATTCTCCTTCTATCGGTTATACTATGAATGAACGTAGAACAAATTTACATCCTGATCAAATTGACAATATAGTAGTAAGACATTCAATGGAAAATTTGAAAAAAAAAGTGATTTTTGATATTATCTTTTTTTAATATAGTCACTTACTTTCATTATTTTTTATTTTTGATATATTGCGTGTTAGTGTTATCAACTTACAATGGAGGTATGTGTGTTGATAAGTGAAAAGATGGCACATATTCGGGT